TAAAAATCAACTTCTAAACCACTGGAAGTTGAAAAGGTTATACATATAGGGTAAAAAGAACAGAGGAACAGGCAAATATAAGGAAAAATAGTCCCATCTCTCCCAGGAGGGACTACTCTCTCAGCTTTTATGGTTCTCTCTAGTCACTATCATGGCAAATGGCAACTGTCATGGTGGGTGGGGTGTCAGCATGTATGTGACCTTCTAACGAGATTGTAGATTGTCCTGCTTCAGTCGGCAGCCACCTTCCATCCAACCAGTGTTTAGGCTGCCTCACCTGAAGAGAAATTCTGGCCTTCATGTCCCCTGTCCTCAAAGACAAATAAGACAAGGCTAGTATAGAAATTCAGCTAGATCAAGCAGGCAGCACATGGCTAAGGATCGGTCAAGAAGCTGTGAGGATACATCCTGTAGACTATGTTTGGTTTCCCTAACATCGAGATTGCTTTCTGGTAAAATTATTGCCCACTAGAAAGAAGCAGGGCTTCTTGGAGGCATAGCTGATCCCTGCTCTTCATGGTAAATGTACAGGACGAGCTTATCTCAAGTTTAGAAAGCTGACAGAAGTACTGAAGACATGTCCCAAGGGCCTGGGAGATAAAGGCGTGTCACAGGCCATGTGAACCTCTAGATGAGTGGTGGTGAACCTATGGCACCCAGAGCCCTCTCCGTCAGCCCCCAAGCCAAGTTGCCCAAGCAGCCAAGCACCAGATAACAGTCATTTAATGTTTCTAACCCAAAAACTCAGTACTTGGGTGTAACTTCAGAGTTGAAGCTCTGTGATAAATAAGTGGGCTTTGAATTGCAGTTTGGGTACTCATCTAAAATATAAAAGTTCACCGTCACTAACCTAGATACTAACTACAGTAGCTTCTGTTTAAATTAAGGTCACCCACAGAGGATGCTAGCAAACCAACTCTTTTTCAAATCTTCTAAATAAAATAAAATGCATTGTTTATGCTGTGTTTTCTAAACAATACTAAATGTACTCAAGGCAGACAAAGGGAAAAATAAAGGATAGATAATAATTATCTGTTGTTTTAAATCAGCATTTTGTTTTTCCTAATTAATGGAATAAATTCTACTCCTGTTCTTAGTGTGGAAATACTCAATAATGTACAGTAAAACGTTATTTTTGCCAAGGAATTTAGAGTTTCATGCCCTGACTGGTTGATTTTGTAAAGATGAATGATTCTATCACCTAATTTAAAATCTCCTGAAATCTACAGTTCAGATCTACCCTGTATGGATGGTTAAAGTCAAGAAGTTTTAATAAAATTGTCTTTCTTTTCAGTTGTTAATCTATAAGACCTGAAAAATCCTTTTGAACTGATGTTTCTTTTTTTTCCCTGCCAATGGACATAAAGCCAAATAAAATACCTCATTTTATAGTTTTTATTTTTTTCCAGGATATGAGTGAGGCCAAAGGTCTCCTGGTTTCACTTCCTAAGCCGAGTGAAATCCTTCAGGCCATTTGTTTATCTCAGGAGTTCTGGAGAGCTCGCTTTGGCTATATTTCATCTGATACCTTCCCATTTTCAAAACTATCTGCGCAATGGTAAAAAGGCCATCTTTCAAGGTAGAGTGACTGTAGACAGCAGTGGCTTAATTCCCCCTTCCATGCCTGCCTAAGAAAGTGTCTCCCTCGCGCTCTCAGAGGGTTGTTTGAGGTAAGGAAAAGAGGTTGTAGTCATAGGATTACAGAGTTAGGGAGATGAGCTAACACAGAAGAAATCATAAAACCTAAAAACAAAGAACCTCTCATCATTATTTCCCATACCCATCACTCTACACCACCGAGGGAAACACACGCACTTTGCAATTAGATGGCTGATGTCTGTCTCAAATCTCCCATCTGGGAGTCTCAATTTTCTTAACTGTACACATAGAATGACAAAAATAAGCCGCGCCAACTGGGACAGGAAATAAGACAATGGATGCCAAGTTGTACCATAAATACACAGCACAAACTATTAACATCTTGGTGAAAATTTCATTTGGAAAATTAAAGAGCCAGCTCATCTGTTACCCAATAGCTATGTGATACTTAGCTATATTGGGTTAAGCATCTTACATACATCCCCACACTGACTTTTCAGAAAGACAGTGAGGCATGTGCTATCATCTCAGCTTCCTAAGCAGGAAATGGAGGCTCAAAGTAGCTATTTGCCAAAAGACACACATGGAGATATAGGCTTCGGTTAGATATGAACCTAGGTTTATCCAACTCCGTAACAAGCTCTTAACCCTTTATTCTGCTCTTTTACATAAGGAGAAACTAGGAGGTAGGGGGAGAGGAAGAATTACCAAAAGATACAGTGATATCTGAAAAAAAATCTAAGTAGTAGATATGCTTAGATGAGTGGAACATAAAATTTGAGAACAATTCATGTAAGAGACTTCATGAGGTATTACTTGATTTCTAAGCAATTAATTTTAGTCTAAATGCAATAAACTGAGCTATACCTATATGTGGTTCCTTAATCATCTCTTTTATTTGGCTAAGATCTACTGAAGATGGCGATTTCTTGCCTGCTCTACAAAGATTATTTTGAGGGCATTAAAATTTTCATATTCTTGGCAGAGAAAGGATGGCGGATAAAATTTTCATATTCTTGAAGAGTTTTTACAAAAGCCTCTAATAGTGGACCTGAATTTGGAGAAATGACTTTTAGATTTTCTCCACGAATCCCATACACGAGCCATAGAGAGCCCACGTACTATGTCCCGCCAGCGATGCCCAGAGCTGTCAGGACAGCAGGTGAGACCGATTTCACCCCTCCAGCAATCTGCTTCCTCCTACTTGGGTCCTCTCCTTTCTCCTTGCAGGAGGCGGAGCCTAATAGAATGACCCTAAGTCCTCTGGGGCGTGCTGTCCAGGTTGTAGGAAACCTATCCTCCCCCTTTGCATTTGTGTCCTGCCCATTATATAAAGAGTTTGCTTTGCCACATGATCCCTGTCACTGCCATCAGTGCCAGAAAATTAGCAGCAAGGGGTCTGCTCGATCTTAGGGAAAAAACCCCCAAAACTGTAACCAAAATAAGCTTTTCTCTTTATACTTTAAACGAACTGTGTTATAGCATCAGAAAATTAATATAGTAAATAAGTGAACAAAAATAATATCTATTAATTAATGGTATCATAAATATATAATGAGTCGTCACCAGGACAAGGTAGTCTTTATTTAACAATAATAAATTAGTAAATACGATGCACTCAAAATCTCTTTTTTTTTTCTTTTTAAGTATTGAAGGTTGTGTGAAGTCCAAAGAGCTGATGCCGGACACTGTCTGGGTAGGTGCCGTCATAGCAAGGAGCATACCCAGGTGCTGACTCTCGCCAGGTGCTGGGCTAAGTCCTCTACACTCAGCCTCCGCACACTCAGCAATGGACAGGCTGTGGTGTCTAGAGTTCTACGTGGCCGCAGTTTGCTGCCCAGGTCTCCTGTCCTCCACATGCCTGACCATGGGTTTGTCCTCCTCTGGGACTGCTGGTGACTCAGCTGCCACTGCCTGAGCCTGCAGTATGAGCAGCTCCCTCCCTTTGAAGATGCCGTGGGTGAATTTCTCAGGCTCTCAGTAGTGGGGAGTCAGCGTGGAGCCCATGCAGCTCATGGACTGGACTGGGCCACTCGGGCTGCAGCAACTCCTGATGCACCCATTTCTCCAGACAGCACTGGAGTGACACAGGTGAGAATCTAAGCAATCTATCTTGTGGACGAGGTCTGTCCTAACAGATGAGCGACTGTGGCCCAAGGGTCCTTACACACAAAACTGCTTCGGGAAAACACAGAGAGACATTTATGCGAAGTGTATCTGAGGGTTTCAGGTTAGAAGTAGCCATGTTATTTTTCTTGAAGAAAAGTAAATAATGGAAAATTTAAAAGAGCATGCAGTGAATTACATTTTTATGATTTCAAACTAAGGAACTTTTTCCTCCAAATGGAGAAAGCAGGCTCTCATATCACAATTACACCTTTGACCGCTCAGAGATCCTCTCACCTGACATTTTGAGCTCCTGGATATGGAGCGGCCAGTGTGACCCACCAAGAATAGCAGGGGAGAGGTGGCAGGAAGGGACACATTGGCCTCTGCCCGTGCCTCTGGTCTCCAGTTACGATCCCTGCCCCAGCAGAGACTACCTGGGCAAGAGCCAGAAGGAGCCCATGCAGCCAGGCCCTGGGAACAGCCAGGAAGACGACCCAGTGAAGGGAGGATGCCACAGTCCTGAGAAGCCAAGAGATGGAGGTGGCCATGAGCAGAGTGGCCTGCCTGTGTCTTTTATCTTTCTATGGCCTCTTTTGTCTTAGTTATATAGTCATGTTTGTACCACTTTAGAAAATCCTCATATATGTTACAGATCTAGAATCCAAAGTAAAAATCATTAAAATATAAATAATATAAGCCTTTAGCCTTGAGGGGCAATTTTATCTTTGCTTCTTGTGCCAAGTACGTCATCCTACTTATTCTCAGCAATCCCTTCCTGCCAGGTTTCGTGCAGGGCATCAGGAATGACAGTGCTAAGCCCACGATAACTCACATTCTGTAGGGAAAACAGGTCAATACATCTGTGGCATGATCAAACAATACAGTGAATGCTTAAAACTTTTAAAAACAATTTATTTAAGTCCCAGACACCTTGTCATTAATTATCTGCAAAATAATCTCCCTCTGTGCAAGCACATTCCCCCCGTCACTCCTGGCACCTTCTGAAGCAGTTCCGGAGTCTTCTTTCCATGGCATGTTTAGTCTCACCGTCCTGGTTGTCTTGATGTGCTCCGGCCATTCAAACTGTTTCCCTTTCACAGTCATTGTCACTTTGGGAAGAGCCGGAAGTTGTGCTGTGTCAGATCCAGCGCACAACATGCATGAGGACATACCATAATGTATTCAACAAAAATTTCCATCAATGCTTAACTTCCAGATGGTCACACAAATCATGGTGCATGTTTAAATTTTAAAATGTACCATAGTAGAAGACATCACCGTTAATCCCTCTATTCAAAATACCCACAGTTGCTGTGAACACACATTTCATTATTATTGAAAACGTGCTTTTTGTAATTTTAACTTAAATTATTCACCATATCTTTCAATTACTGTCATGGTTTATGCCTGTGGCTCCCAGGCCTCATGAGTTTGCATTGCATATTTCTGATTGGTTCATTGTCTAGTGCTTGGATTGATGGTGTCAGTGCTCCACCCACAAAGGGGTAAAACCAAGATATGATGTAATGGCAGGAAGAAGGTGTGTCTTGCTCTTTTGCCAGTTTCTGCCTTGCTGTTTGCAGCCGCCATGAACTGTGGCCCCGCCAGACCACCCTGTCTTGGAGCCAATTGAGTATGGACTGAAACCTCCAAAAACTGTAAGAAATAAACCTTTCCTTTCCCAACTTTTGGCATCGGTTATTTTGTCTCAGTGACAAATAAAAAGTAACTAAGGCAATTACCCATTATTAAATTGCCATAATAATGACTAGAAAAATGGCATTCAGGATGACTGAGAGCCATTATCTGTTGCAAAATATGATTTGCCTTAGATGTTTTAGTTTTAAATAACAGCAAATACTTCTTTTGTGCATGTGTGATATGTAAACTTGGTACTCAGAATTTCAAACTGCAGCTAACATTTTCACAGCCTTGGCATCCTTTTTCTTTTTAACAAGATGACTTTTATCAGGATTTTACTATGCTTCCCCTGATTTGGATTTCTAGAGCCACACATAGGACTTCATGATCTCTGTAAATCTTTGAATGAGCATGAGAAATGTATAGTGTTACACAGTAGGAACTTGGTGTTTTTATCATATAGGATGATGGATCTTGGTATTTGGCTTTAGGCTTTTGAGATTTATTGCCTTAAAATATCTCTCTTTTTCTGCACAAGAAGTAAACACACAAACTTAAAGAAGAATAGATTTAAATGAAGAAAAATGAACAAATTCCCCCGGCCAGCTCTGGGTGAGGGGAGTGCTGGGCCCGCCAGGGGTCCTCAGCCCTCTGGGGTGAGTGAAATCACAGTTCTGAAGGAGTCTTGGAAAAGGATTCAGTTTCTTGAAGCTAATGGTGCTACACAATTGAACAGTACCATAAGCATAAAGAAGCTAAATCAAGCCAAGGCCAGAGTTGCTGGGTAAATGATTGACTGAAACCTGCAGAGGAAACATTAAAACAATTTTTCTTTCTAGCCAAAGTTCAATGGAAAGAGAAATTATCTTGAGATCATATCTATGATTTAAGCAAACTTGTGGACCTCAATTAGCTTGAGAATCCCTTCTCTGGAAAGGAGAAATTGCAAGGCCTGCCTGTCTCTTAAGGGTTCTAATGTTAGTTCAGCAAGATCATTTGCAAAACCCCTACCATGTTCTGTATCCAAGGCGTCTTCTCAGAACTCTCTTGATTGACTCCTTGAAGAAGAGGCTGCGTAGCAGCAAAGGTGCCTAGAGCAGGAGGAACACTGGGCAGACCATGGGCTATGAGAAACCCCGCCCTCAGATCTGGAGGCTGAGACACCTGGGAGGAAGAGCCAGGCCCAGGTCCGGATAGATTCCTGCAGCCCTGCAGGCGCACTCTGTCCCTTCCCAAATACTCCTCCCCAAAAACCTCTATGGGCTGTGTGTGCCTTGCTAAGGTAGGCGCCAGGCTTAGGGTTTTTCATTCCACTGCTAACAGTGCATCAGAAGCTGGCCCTGCTCCAGGGCGCCTGATGAGAAGCAGGGTGGCAGCTTCCCAGGCAGCCTGGCTCCGCTTGAAAACCCTTCGTCTGCCTCGATGCCACTCCACAGATTGCGCCCCAAAGAAGTGACAACAGTGAAACCCTGACACACCGGGCCCCCCAGCAGCACCGCCCACACAGCCAAGGGCAGAAGCCTGCAGGTGGACCTCAGGGACCGCGTGGGCGGCCAGGAAAGGCACGGGCACCGCTGGGCACCCGCGGGTGAGGCTCCGCAGCGCACCCAACACGCAGGGTGCGAACCGGGGGACTCTCTTAAGCCGATGCCCAAAGGCGACAGGCCAGAGGGCAGTTCAGGGGCTGCAGACAGGGAAGCAGGGCGCACCTGCCCCTGCGCCAGGGATTTTATCCTGCAGAGCCAGACCTAGACCGAGGTAGTGCTTGCACTGCATTACAGATGGATCAGCTGCACCGAAACGTCCCTTTAAAACGGCTGGTGCAATGGGGTGTCATTTCACCGTAATAAATTATTTGAAAACTTAGAGAAGACTCATTGAAATTATATAACACACATTGTTAAGAATACAATGAAACTGTAAATAAAAATGAGCTAAAGGTGAAATCGCATTTTCTTATAAAAGCCTGTGGGATGGCACCCCTGTAATGTCAGCCCCCTGGGAACTGAGGCAGGAGGGTCTCAAGTTCAAGCCCAGCCCTGGCAGCAGTGCAGCGACCTAGAGACCTCAGCTCAAGAAAGAAAAAGAAGTGAATGAAAAATGAAAAAGCCTGGGGGCCTCGCTCACAGGAAGGGCTCCGGCCTCAGACCTCAGTACAGCAAAAAAGAAAGAAAAAGAGCCAGCATTTTACATAATGATTAACGCGCTAAAGACTTTCGCTCTCGTGAAACTTGATAAATAATATTTTCAACAGAAACAAGTTGTTAAATATATTACTGCATAATGAAGTGTAATAAAGGTTAAATTTTAATGGCAATCATAGCTAAAAGAGGTAATTAACACAATGGGAGGGAATGTACTGAAGATCATTGACCAAATCATGATGCCTATTTCTGCAACCCCTTAATATAATCTCTAATACAATAAATGTACATTATTCTATGTCGTATCATTCTATATAATATAGTGTTTATTATGACCAGTCCACATTGTTAATCATCAGTAGCCTGTTCTAGTTACATGATATACACATTATAGATAATTATATATGTATATATAATTTAGAAAAAGTATTATTTAAATTTTGCTTGGAAATATATGTCTGCCCTGAACCAATCAATTTTTCTTATAAACTATGTGGAAGATTTCATCACTTTATATTTTTAAATATATGATCAAAACTATTGCAATATTCATCTGAGAGACTTTTAAGTAAGTTAGGAATTCCTGCTCCAAAACTTGAAAATTTTTGAAGTGTGCAATTCGGGAAGTATTTATAGGAAACAACCATATTTTGACAATAAAATCACACAATGGCTGAAAAAGTTTTAACTTCAATTTTCAAAACACTTTATCCAATTTCACAAGTTTATTTCAAATAGCACTTAATCTTGGAATCTCTGTTCAAACCATGAACTTGTCTTGTGTGATATCCTGATACTGTTGATTAGGTATCACAGTATCACCATCCTGTAGATATCACAGAAGCAGAAGCGGTCAGGCAAATCAAATCACTTTGTTGTCATTTTTAGGACAAATGTGTGTAACTCATCTTGGGCAGTTCACAGCATAGCATGCAAATCTCTGTTGGCGTGGAAGCTCTGTATGGCCACAGTGCATAATACTAAAGACACTGCTACTTTAAAACCTGAGCCTTATAACAAATGCAGTGACACCTGAAAACAAGTGAAGCATAGAACCTCGCCTAAGCTGAGAACAAACCATCTGGTGGGTGCGCTATGGCCCACGGCTCTGCCCGAAAATGCTCACCCAGCACGTGTAAAGACAAGACACAGGCAGGGTCAGGGAACACACATGAGATACGTTAACTCTCACCCTTCCCCATTGTGGATGACGGTGGTCACACGTGGGATCCATGACCCCGTCATTACCTGTCATTCCTGCCCTCGTGGAACTCCTGAGCGGGGACATCCACGCACCAGCTCCTTGGCCTGCAGAGGTGGAGGCAGCTTAGCTGAAGACAGCGCGTCACACAGATGGTCTCCCCCAAGCAGCTGAGGCTGACTGCTGCTAAGTCAAATGTACACCCTGCGGTGCTGTCCAGAAAATAAAAATAATTGGAGAAATTTTTTTTTTCAATTAAGTAGACTTAAGAATAGATTTTAAATTAAATAAATTTTGTTTGAGTTTTAATAGAAATAGTTCTTATTTTAAGAGTACAGCCATTAGAAAATCATGCAATAACACCTTTTGGGTTGGGGGCGGGAAATAAGTTTTAAAGACAAACAATATAAAACCAAGAAACAATACATCTTCCTAAGTGCCTCACTGAGCTTTTTTCTCCCTATAAGTACATCATTATAATTTTTATTTCTGTTTTCTGAAGTTTCATTCAAAAATATTAAATTATTGAGGAAATAAAGAACATGTATTTCAGGCAGTGTATCTTATGGAAAGATATTTTCAGAAAGCTCAGCCCAAAATAGCTCCTCCATCCTGCAGTGGGTCTCGTGTGCAGGGGGCCGCCCTCTTCCCAGGGCTCCTGGTTGGGGGGATGCAGACCCCCCAGGCTGCCTGTCCTTGACTGCACTTGCTGGCCTTAGTGGTCACCCACTCGCTGTGATGCAGCTGTCCTGAGTCCACTCATTTTACTGTTCTTTCTCTTTCCACTAATTTTCATACTGTTATAAGGAACAAAAAGAAGATAATAAATTGTATCTTTTTATATCTTAAATAAATACATCTTCTAACATTGCCCTGCTGCATAAATTTCTTAGTTACTTTGTACTTCCGTTCAACTGGCTCTGTACAATGCATCTTATCTCTGTAAGTATCTCATCTTAGGTACAAAATCTGCTCTTTTTCTGTTCAGTTTTTTTCCTACTATAGCTCCTCTGGAAAAAGTATTTTAATAGCTGTGCACATATGTGATGTTATATCCATAGTCTATGGATATCAAGAAGCCTGCCAGTAATATCTGCAAATGGGAAATATTAAGTCAGTCTCTTCAAATTTGATAATGGTTACCATAAATCTATCGCCACCGGTAATATTGCCTAATTAGATAGAAATGTAAACCAAATTATTCATAACTTTAACTAATAGTTAACTCATGCCTCCGCTTACTTTTTACCCAAATTTCTTTCTGGGTGATGACTCTACATATTTATCTCACTTTCTCATTATCATTTAAAATACAGTGGTTTATCTTGCCCATAACATTTAAGTCCTTCACTTAAAAACTAATAGATTAATAAGTTTATGAGCTCCTCCATTATAAGAAAATGGATGGCCTTAATGCACTGTTGATCTAGACTCAGCAAGCCTGACAGTGTTAATGACATAACAACCATGAAATCATACAAACCCATGTCCCAAAGACAAATGGCTCATCATGTCCTCTGATCCCAGGGCTTCCTTGGTCACATATCTTATCATAAAATGTGTGAAGACATGGAAGCAAAAAATAGCAAGATCACCAGTCGGTTTAGAATTCCAAGAGCTCCCTACCCACCTCCACCCAGTGTATATTTGAACTCACTCTTCAATCCTGTTAGTCCTACTGCAGTGCTCTCCGTAGCTTTTTGGCCATCTGCCATCCCTGTTATTTATGTATTTGCATGCCTTTATACTTATTTATTCATATAAATTTCAGGAAGGGCAGAAGTTTGTGTCTGTATTGTTTGTTGCCCTACTTTACTGCTTGAAATAAACTATTTCTGGCAAAACTCAACTAATATCCTCAGCATGAATTAATTAACAACACTGAAAAATAGCTGTTTCTTCAGTCTAATTAATACAAAGGAAATATATTAATGAATATTTCTACTGCTCTGACAGTACATGTTTTTCTAGTTAAATTACTTTGTTATTTAATTGAAATAAATTCATCTACAAAAGTAAATGGACCGCTATATTTATCTTTCTTTCACATAAGCTGTTTTTAACAATAATACAATTTATAATGCCTTTAGATGGAAAGCTAAAATTCAAGTTACTTCAAATTGCTTTTTAGGTTATGTTTATCAATTGCACCTTTATTGAAACATATTAGGAAACTGCTCTGTATTACCCAGTTTAGTATCATGATAACAATTTTAAGACTTGCTATAGGCAGCTGAGTTAATTAGAAATATTATAGGCCGTCAGACAGGGCTGGGCCCTCGAAGAAGCTGGCACAGAGGACCAGATGTCTGGTGACCTTGGAGGAGACACACAACTCTTGCTGTGGGCCAGATTTCAGGACAAAAAGGGAAACAAATGCAGCCACACCCTTAAGTATAATCCTTGGGATTAAATCTGGATCACCTCGAGAAGCCAGGAGTCACCATCCCAACCCCCTATAGGAAGAGTCACTGATCCATAAAGGATACTCCGTTGCTATGTGACTCGCTTCCCCATTTGTCCCTGATCTGGCCAATTTTACCTGAGTAATTAAACTTATTGATTGACCACAGCTCTGTCCCACCTTATGCCCATCTGCCTTGTGAGTTCCCAGTTTTCCCCAGCTTTAGACCCACCTCCACCTCATGGTTTTATTTTATTAAAATCCCTACAAAAGACAGAGTCCCTGGCAACCCACTTGAGACCCCTTCTGTTTCTTTTTTAGACAGAAGCTTTCTTTCTCTCAATAAATATTTCTGCTCTTAACCTCCATTGTTTCTAATTCATTCTTCAATTTTAGAGGACAAGAGCTCGTATCAGATATATAGTAGGTTGGGAGTTTTGTTCCCCTATATCAGACTCATGATATATTTCATATTTCTAGAGACTTATCTTGATAAAGATAAGTAGAGTACAATTTTACCTTTATTGTAGCTCTACCAGTAATATTTATCTCAAAGCTTATCTTGATGCAAAAGTATTTGGATACAAAAAGAGAGATTTTCTTTTTATAATAGACTTCACTTTCATCAGATAATTTAAGTAACAGACAGACTTGGTATTTGCAGAACTCTAATATATGTGAAGTCACAAACCATGATTTTTTTTCAAATATACCTTCTTAAATATAACTTGTGGTAAGATAATAACTTGGAACACAATTTGAGATTATACATACTATTTCCCAGATTTGAATTTTGATTCCTCTGATTATTGCCCAGTTAAATTTATTTAGGCAAGTTTACAGCTATAAGATTTAGGTTTTTTTATTTATGAAATAATGATATAGACGAAACTTAATAATAGAGTATGAAGCCCCAGAAGACCCTAAACAGTGAAAATAATCTTGAACAAAATGAATAAGACTGAAAGTATCACATTCTAGGATTTCAAAATATGTTAAAAAGCTATTGTAATCAAAACAGCATGATACTAATATATAAATAGATATTTTGATCAGTGAGACAGAATAAAAGGCCCAGAAATAAACCCAGGATTTACAGTTGACTAAGTTTTGGGAAAGATGTCATAGGACACAGAATAGGGAAGGACAATTTCATTAATAAGTGATGCCAGAAAAACCTGGATATCCACATGCAGAAGAGTGGAACTTGATCCTTATCTCACACCATATATAAAAATCAGTTCAAAATGGATCCAAGATTATACATAATACCTGAAAATGTAAAGCTACTAAAAGAAAACATGAAAGGAAATCCCCACAACAATGTCTGGATATTTTGTGTGTTTTATTTGTTCATTTTTGTTGTTTTTTGTTTTGTTTTGTTTTTGCCAAGGATTCCTGAAGACAGGCATCAAAAGCAAACATACACAAATGGAATTTCATGAAACTAAAACTCTTCTATATAGCAAAGAGAAAAATTAACAGAATGAAGATTTGGGGATTTGGAGACAATATTTGCAAAACATACGTCTAGGATTCAAAATTTGCAAGGAAAGAACTCAAACATCTCAATAGCAAATAAACAATTCAGTTACAATGGACAAGTGAATGAATAGACATTTCTCAAAAGAAGACCTACTAATGGCCAAGACAAGTGAGAAGTGACCAGTATCACCACTCTTCGCAATAAAAATTTGAACCACAATAAGGTCTTATTTTTCCTGAGTTAAGGTAGGCATCATCAAAAAGAAAGTGATAGCAAAGATGTAGACAAAAGGGAACACTTGCACATTACTGGCAGGAATGTAAATCAGTACAGCCATTTTGGAACATAGTATAGCAGACCCTAAAAAACTAAAAATAATGCTATCAGCAATCCGACTCTTTAATACATGCCCAAAGGGATTGTAATCCCTATGTCACAGGGATCTGCACTCCCATGGTCATTTCAGTGTTATACCCAACTGTCACGATATGGAAGCAACCTAAGTGTACATCAACAGATGAACAGATAAAGGAAATGTGTGTGCAAAAATGAATACTGTACAGCTCTGAAAAGGAAATTACGTCATTCACTACAACATGGATGAGAACATGAATGGACCCGAAGGATATCATAGTAAGTGAGAATTATAGTAAGTAAAGTAAGTATTTATACAGAGATAAATACTATATAATTAATGCATGAAATCTGTAAAATCTGGTTTTATAGAAAGAGGTTGGAACAGTGGTTACTAGGAGTTGGAGGGCTGGGAAAAGACATGTACTGATCAAGCTGTACAAAGACTCAGTTCTACTAGGAGAATAAGTTTTAGTGATCTGTTTTTTGTAATGCATGAAAACCACAAATAATAATGGTGATTTTTCAAAATTTCTAATACATTTTTAACATTCTCATCATAAAAATTAATTTGGTGATGTAATCAAGTTAATTTGATTTAATCTTTCTAATGTTACATAGGTCAGAACATCACGTTGTAGCCTATAAATATGCACAACTGTTATTTGACAATTTTTTAAAAAGTAAAATGAGATCATCCCTCTGAAATGTTCAGCACAGTGCGTGGCACTTAAGAATTGTTCAAAACATTTCAGACGCTGTTCTTGTTTCCCATCATCAAGTCTGCGGGAGGTTGGATGTGCCCAGGAGTTCTCCAAGAGTCCCCTGGGATCAAGATCTTCCAGGCTGATACAGCTGGGAGGTGCTGAAAAAGGTCCTCAGGTCGCAGGAGGGCTGCAGTCACCAGGCACCGTGCAGTGGGAACCTGTCCCTCAGACTGCCTGTCTGGCGATGCAAGCTCTTCATACATGTCCCTGCCACCATGTGCCACCATGTGTTACCATGCACAGGCCAGCCCAAAGGATCTGCCCATTGGGACCTTGAACCCCCAAAAACCTGTGAGCAAGATAACCCATTAATTTTTATAAAGTTAACTCATTCTAGTGGTGAAACTCTTACCAACACAAAATATTGTCATCCCTACTTGTATCCTGAACACATTTGTGTGTATATCGTCATCTCAAGACATTTTCACCCTGCTCTAGCATGAAAGCTACTTGTCCATTTCATTTTTCTGTCTTCCCCTGACACACCTATCTCACCCATCTTCTGTTCCCTTAAATACACCTGTCTCTTGAACGTGGTCAGAACTCAATATGTATTTAATTCAACTCAAGCTGAATTAAATGAAACCAAGGCACATATAGTCATGTATCTGCAGCTGTATTCCCTTACATTGATAAGTGATGACCTCACCTGCCTCTTGCTGGTAGATAAAATTATTTTAATAGCTTGGTAAGTATATTTTTCACAAAATATGAGTCATAAATTCACTCAACAATGGTGGGTTTCTCTTGCATAAATAACTTCAAAAGCATCTTCTATTCTATAATCAGTGCATTCGAATGTGTAGCATTTAAGATCTGCAGACCAGTGAGCTCCAGCCAAGAATTTCATGCTCAACCTTGGACTTCTAAATTCAGACCACGATATTTCAGAACACAAAGACATCCTGGTGAATAGAAACCATAGAACTGAGGTCCTCATGAGTCATAAGCAATGTTCTATTTCCCCGTCTGTTCCACCAAGTACTGCTTTGTTTAACCACATATATTTTCCAGGAGAAACTTGGACCCAAAAAGAATAGACACATGTAAGATAATTGAATAAAGTATGGCCAAAGTTTCAGTGTTTAATTTTTAGTCCATCTCATTTGAAGTATTTTCTGATAATTTTAATTAGTCACATATAATATAACAAATTGGACTTTCAATGTATGTACCTGTAATAATTTAGGTGTATTTTTTCTTCTAGATTTTTCTACCCAAAGACAAAAGAATAACCTAAGGAGTGTAAAAGTTTACTTAATATTACAGTAATTAGGCTTCTGGGATTATCAGTAAAGCTGTTTAGACAGAAAATATAATTGATATTTTCCTGGTCTAAATTTCAAAACAGGGACATAAGTGAGATTCTTATCAGTGCAAACCTCAGTCCTCTGGAAATCACTGGGAAATCTCCCTTAAAGACCAAGAGTCTGATAAATCCTCACCTTGTCTTGCCTCGCTTTGACTGCTGATAATTGCATTTCCCAGAAGGCTAAGGAGGCAGGAGTACAGAAATGGTATTTTGAACCCAATTTTCCTGAATCCACACATGTCAAGGGTGATTTGCAACCTAGTTAATAAGCAGTTCTGGGAAGGCACCAGCGCAGAGCCCAGAGCTGCTCCCTGCCCCAGCAGCTAGGCCTTTGGTTGGAGGATGGTGGAGTCCCCGACCTTCGGGGAACCTGAGCCCCAGGGAGGTGGGAAGCAGGGTGCTGGGGGCTGAAGGAATGGGAGTTACCGGCCGGTATTCCGGCACTATTGCGGTGGTACATCCGTGCGTTCTTGCACACCTGCTGTGTATCGCTTTGTTTACGGTTCCTCTCCTCCCTGGTGCGGCTTTCACTGCTCAGAATCATTGTCTACTCCACAGCCCACACCCGCTCCCTTAGGTCTCCGCTTCATTGCTGAGTTACCTAAACAACCTGACCTGAACGGTGAGTCTCACGGTTTCTACCTCCCCAAAACGCATTTCAGGTCTTGTAGCCTCTGATGACTCCATTTCCTATCTGGTTTCATCTCCTTGCAAACTGTTTGTTTCTGACATTACCCAACTGAAGCTATCGCCATTTCTCTATGACCATCAACGCAAAACCTCAAATGCTTAGCCTAAATTAGGATACCCTCTTTATCTAATTCCTGAATATTTTTGCAGACTATTTTCTTGATATTTCCTCTTATTCTCTCTGCAATACAGCCAAAATGAGCAATCTGTTCTTCTGAAGAGCAGGTGTTTCCACAGGCCTGTTATTTTCGCCTGTCATTGCTTGGATCCAGGGTACAGTTTCTGTCCTCTGTGTTCCAAAGCTAAGGTCATCTCCAACTCTTCACCTTGGTGACTTGGTTCCAGTGAACCTGGTCTCCTTCTTGTCCCTTTCATGTGCTTGTCCCTTGAGCAGGGTGATGGCTACCTCTGTCCCTTCTCTGTGGGCTCACACGTCACCCCTTCTGTGAGACTGACCCTCAAAGCCCTGCCCAGGACCAAGCGGCCCTACAACACCCTGCTTCTGCCTTGTGCCATGGCTCTATCTTGCCCAGTATTTGATGTCATTGTTTGAGTCACCAACACACTACAGTTTCTGTTTAGCTGAGCAACTGCATTTGTGACATAGGCAATTCTGCAGTCATCCACTGTAGAGTATGTCTTATGGTTTCTAATCATGAATACCTAATAAATCTTGAGTTCTAGCTTTAAGATCCTGCCTGCTTCCCTGCTCTAACTCAGTTCGGTGGGCTCACTCACTGTGACAGTCACAGAATTTTTGGCTGCTGTATAGCATCTCCCTTGAAGTGTTTAGTGAAGCTAAAACTTAATCCATAAACTCTATGTACAAAAAGTAATTTTTTTACAAATGCAGAGAAATCCACATGGGACCCTTTCCTGAGAATTACATCAGAAGCTCAACTAATACTAAAATTTTGGGAAGAGGGGTAGGTGGACAGCTGCAAACATAGACATCACTTATTCACACTGGCATCACCGACACATTCCTCAACCCTCATGGTCCTGGGATTTAAATCCAAACTTGTTGCTGTCAATTTGGTTGCCATCTTGGGGCTGGAGATACCATCACACTGGTCAGTTCTTCCTAAAACCTCCAACACTTGCTGTGTTTATAGGGACATGTCTAGTACTCCTGCATCGGGGGAAATTAAGAATATTGACATTTTGGCTCCTTCCACACAGAAGCTGGATGAAAGGGAATGAACAGTGCAAAAAATCTGTAACCTCCTGGATGTTTATGATGCAAACCATCGTTCTGGGCTCCTTCTTCCAAATGAATGTAATGCCGTTAGAAATGGGAGCGGTGCCAGCCACATGGCCTCGTCTACTGCCTTGATCTTAGCTCCTCTACACATGACTCTATAAAGGTTGGTTCCCACAGCTGGACACAAATGACACGATCGTTTTCAGGCATCCTTTCAAATTTATTCGTCTACCCACTAAGACTTATTGAATGTACCAGTACATCTGTGCTCTTTTGGAGAGCTAAATATACAGTAACCAAAAAAAAAATGAAGTCTTCTTAATCCTGTGCAGCTCGCCTCCAGCGTTCCCCAACACTGTGTGTTAGGAAGCACAGGTACTTACAAAGAGAAAGACAATTAAAGATAACTACAGCCAAAGGTGAAGAACCTGCACATTAATGTGAACCTAGAAGTCTTTAAACAAAATCCCAATTATTGGAACATTTGAACAATACTAATAAGTTGACTTTCAGTCCTAGAGACAGATTTGAAAAAAAAATCAATGACAAATGGAGGCCTAGCCTAACAGCAGTAGAAGTTACTATGTATTTGAGAGAGAGAATAAAAAAGCTTCATAGCTTATTTGTGATCTCTATCCTTGGTTGTATATGAGCTTACTAAGAAATGACAACCAAAACTGTACTGTACATTTAGAATTTATTAGGTGAAATACAGTACCCAGTATATGAGTAAAATCTGTGTTTCAGGCTACCCACACTACATCTAAAGCAAAATAGTTACTTTAAATGATGCATGTTAAGAAATACAATGAAATAATGACATGCCCCCTCGAAGAAATGAATTATCCAATGATCATTTCATTCAGCAGTTACTTGAAGTAACCAGATACTGTCTGCAGGCAAAAGTCTCATTTTAGACAAAATACAGTATGCTTTGAAAAACTGCCTCAAGGGAAAAGAATCCTGCTTTTTCTGTACAATGTCAAGGTGCCAAACTGAAGTGATCAGGCCAAAGTTATAAAGCGATTAGATCAGTTCTGGTTAGATGGGGTGTAAATAGAATAATTTATAATATCTAAGTGCTTCCACCAAAGAAAATGAATAGGATAAAACTTTGGTAATGGGTCAGATCATAAGGCCTTTATATTTTCTTTCAAAATCAAGTTTTTACAGCTCAAGGAAGATACGGATGTTTTTATGGGTGATTTGAATAAAAGTGGCGAGCTTGCCTTCTGCAGATTCTAATGCGGAAATGAGGTTGTCTCCCGCACTGGTTTAGTTCACCTGCCTCATTTATTCCCCTTAGCTGCAAGTGGGGTGAAGTCTCTCCACCATCACCCTGCATCCCCTCCATGAACAAACAGCAGGTTACACTGAACTACTGTATACTAAGGAAAATTAACAACGTTAAATCTCAGTTCATTTTAGGGAGTAACAGAACTCTATGGGACTTCCTTTTGTGCTCTTGATGTGGGAACTGGACGGTACTGATCCGTACATCTTCCAAAGAAAGATGCAAATCAGGGCAGCACGAATGCCTAAAGCCCTGATGCTTCACAGATTAGTAGCCTGCCATTAAGAAAGTGGGGGGCACTGGGTCAGGGAGCTGGAGCCATAAACATTATCAGGTAAAAGTGAGGTTTCCTGCGGCTGCAGGAAGAAATGAGCTTGTTGTTTCTACTTCTGGTATTAATCATAATAAGTGTTTTATCTAAGCCTGTCATGTTTAGTTTCTCCGTGCAATTTACCTCTCAGGCACACTGTTCACGGTATCACTTGCCTTATCTCTTAACTTCTAGTCTTCAAGTGCCTAAATGTATTTCCTCCAAGGTTCCCACAGTTCACATGACAAAGTCAACATAAGTGCTATTTTGAGACAATGCTGTGCCCGCGTTATGAAAGACAGAGTTCCTTGTGCCTGGCCACTCCTGTCATCTGTTGAAAAGCTTAACAGACAGCCCTGATGCTTTGCCTAATTGCAGTTTTGCTATGAGATTAGCAAGATTTCAAATGTGGAGCCTGAGTCCATACTTTATTGCATTTATTTATTTCATGCTTTACTTTTGCCGAAGAAACAAAGACCCGCTGATCCTATGTCCTATTCATGTTTATCAACTGACACTCATTAGCCAATGTAGTCAAGTAGCTTTCGAGGGGCCCTGTGATGAAACTCAATTTTGAAGGGTCCTAGACTACAAGATGTAACGAAACCAAACAACTAAAGAAGCCCAAGCCACAGCCATGCAGAGACAGACTTTCCCCTGACTGTTCCAGAGGAGGGGACTGGTGGTCCTCCTGTCCGTGGTTCACAGAGAAGAAAGATGACAACCTGAGAGGACAAAGTGACTTGAAGATCAGACAGCTAATAATATTCCACTCTGCACAACCCTATTTCATTGTAGTCCTCTTATTATCTGCTAATAATCCTCTATAATTAAGCTCCCTGCATAATATTAAAATATAATCCACATGAACACCAATCACGGTATATTTCAAAGGCTGAAGTGGTTTCCACTCCAGCCATGCATGACAATCACTGTGCAGCTGTAGCTTCATATATTTTAAATGGTTTACCCCAAGATTTAAAAAAAAAAAAAATAAGATTCGTGTCTATGCGTGAGACTTTTAACCTAAAACTGGTAAAAAGTCCCATTTAAACCTAAACTGGTAATTGTGCATTTAAGGTACAGGCCTTACATGTTTCTTTCATTGCCCTTTTGGATTAAAAACTTGTGTCACATCCCTCAAGGAGACAGGTCCTCCTTTAAGGAATAGCTCGTGAAATGTTTTCAGTAGGGGAAGCTGCTGGTTCCAGTTACCAATGGATGGGGGGAGCATATAGTATATACGAACTTTGATTAA